CCTTTGAAATTATTCAACAATTATATTTTATAAAGGGATGAGGTGGGGTGAGGGACATTTCCATTAACTTTAATTTATCTTTTAAACATAACTTCTGTGTGGGAAAACTAAAACACATATGATACGGCCTTGTATAAAAATCATACACACATAACATTTGTGCGAACAGTCGCTTCTTCTGCAGGAAAAGAGAAACTTTGAACTGCACGTCAAACATGAAACCGGTGGGAGAGAACGTGTTCGGTTGTCTGACCGTTTGGTTTCATGGACATCGAGAAGCATCACGACCTTTTGTTAAAATCTTCACTATCACACAACAAGACATTCACTCATTCGATACTGACAGGCATCTCCCGGCAGAGTGCCCAGCCAAACCTCTTTCTTTCTTTTTCAGTCATGCGCTGTTAGGTTCTCCAGGAGAAATGGATGTTTCGATTTGGCAGCATGAAACGTGAACTTTAAGTATTACATGGCTAGGATTATTTTTGATATAATCCTGAATTTGTTAAAGTTTAATGGACTGTTCTTCGACACGTTTCACATAGCTTCGTTTTTCTTAAAATCAGCTGTCATGTTTTGGATTTCTTGAAAGAGACGAGTGCAGTAGACAGAGGCTATGTGAGACACTTTGGACATGTGACGTTGCTAGCAGAACACAATATCACATGTCGTAACACAAGCAAACACCAGGAGTGTTAAATGAGCCATGAAAGTGACCATAGGAAATTATCTTGGGCTGAAAGTCAAGCGTTCTCAGTCCTGTGTTTTTAAATGCTTGTTTTACGCCTGAAATCTATAGCTAAACATTTATTTGTGATTTGTGTACCCATATACCAATATCATTGAGGAAAAAATTGAGGTGCCAAGGAACTAAATAGCTCAGTTGATCTTAACAGTAAGTGGATGGGCCACTTTGGGGTGACAAAAACCAGAGGCCGGAGGCACTGGAGGCTTGCCAAGCCAGTGCAGAAAAGAGGTCGTCCATCAAGAGGGAGCTCTTTAACTATGAACTCAGTTCCTGTGACAGAAAACATAAGACAATTCAATTCTTTGCTGATTGACTGAGTCGGAGCCTTGGCAGTTCTTCGTGTCTGCACAACAGGGTTTGTGTAGGTGCGTGTGTGTGAGAGAGCGGGACTAAATCGATAATCAATAGGAATTCCCCCTTTGAAGTTGACTCCAGGCAGCTTAGAGTATTAGAGTAAAGCCAAGTAAGGCCAAAGGTGTTGGGAATTAACAATATCCCTGCACATACAGACACGCACAAGATCTTACACATGCACACTAGCATAATAGCAAAGGCAGCAGTCCTTTTAGTTTAATGACTGACATATAATTAAATGTTTTTGGTGTTCTGCCACGTAAAATGATGTATGTCAGAAAGGGGAGCTCGTTAAAAAGCGGAATAAAGTTAAATATAGTTAAACACCTGTGATCTGTGAAGGACTATAAAGTCTCTTCTTGAGGCCGACGACTCTCGTGTAAAAATATCACAAAATACTTTGTCTTGCATTTCAATGTGGGATTGTCTATGACATTATCTATTGATAGAAAGTTGCCTAATTTAGCCCAAAGGCACATCTATAGTAATAGCCTGTATTTCACCTTCATCTGTGTAGCAACACAACTACACCAGTAGAGTCTTGCGAATATTCTACATTTTCTGGGTGACAAAACAAAAGATACCAGACTCAACACAATGGGTTTTCCTGACCAACAGATGTGTAAGAGCCACAGCATGCACTCAGAAGCTTGGCAGTGGTGTTTGTAAGGTGTAGAACAATAAGTTTTCCCGTGGGAGTTGCAAATTTTGCAAAACCACATAAAAAAAATTATCTGGTATTCTTTTTAGAAACTGGCGGAACAAAATGAAGACAACACTGAAGAGCCAAGAACTCGTGTTTTACTGATTTTCAGATACTGATGCCGATATTTGGTGTGTTCAAAAGCCAATATATTGGCCGATATTCAGGCACATGAAGCACAAACAGATTTTCCTAACATTTTTTATGTATAGTTATTTATTAGTCACAACTTTTAATGTGACAACTTGTTGTGGATTTCTTGTTTACGCTCTACACGACTCTGCCTCGATCAGGTAAAAAAAAAAAAAGCCAATGTGACATTTAATCTGAAGGCCAACAGGACGCAAAAGACTTCTAGTCTTACAGAAGGACTGCTGATCGCTCTACAGGCTTTCCTGCTGATGGCAAAAACGCTCATCTTGAGGCTTCAAAACAATGGCCGGTGTAATGGTAGCTACATGCATCTTTTATAGACTTAATTTACTGGTTAGGCTCTGCAGTTCCTTAACCCACCACTTGGGGCTGGCTCCTAAAGTGAGTTGCGTGCTAAAATGTGTAACTGTTGAGCTGAGTATTTATGGTTGCACCAAAAATTTGTTTTGGGTGAAATTCCAGCAGGTATCAGTGTTTCTAGGATACACACCCATTTGTTTCACTAGTATAGAAAGTTAAGTTTTATATATTATTTTTATATTTTTCCACAGTTGAAAAAGGCTATTTTCTGTGAATTAACAAAAAGCTTTCTGATTTATAATTACAGAACAGTCTGGCCAATGAGCCACCAGAGGTTTTTATGTGATTTTGCACATTTATTTCTTACAATTTAAGCCCAAAGAGTCATGCACTTAGTTTTTTATATTAAGATATCTTAGAGATTCAACTTATTTACACTAACAGGAAGAGTTTCATCAGTCCGGTCTACTTGAGATGAAAGCGGGCACTTTGATACTATTGTTGTGGTAATTTTAAGTTGTGCGTTCATTAAACAAGGTATTAGAGCTTTTTTCAGTTGAAAAGTGAGCTACAAATCAAAGCCTTTGAGTCAAATCTACTGAGGTGTTTAGATGGTTTCCTGTGGTTTGTGGACACAGCGGTGGAAACGAGAACAAGTGGAAATGATACGGCGAGAATGAGTATGGATGACAAGAACAGTAAAGAAAGAAAGAGAGAGAAGCCAATTTGACCCGGTGGTGGAGAAAAGAAGACAGCAGGATAGAGCAGGGCAGAGGAAGGACTTTACCCGCTGACGCTCCTGTTGAGTTTCCCCGAAGATGGAGACAGCAAGAGTCAGGGACAGCGACAGAAAGAAAGACCGAGAAAGAAGACGAGAAAGAAAGGAAGAGGGGGAGGGAAGGGAAAAAAGACATAGAAAGACACAAGCACACGCGCACACACAGATACACACACATACACAAAGAGGCCAACAAAGACAGACACAAGAGAGAGGGGGTTTGGTAGAAACAGGAAAAAATACATTCACATGAGAGACAGACAAAAAAGGACAGCAAGATGGGCATACCTGCATACCCGATTACAAATACACACCCTCCACCCATCAACACACACGCGCATGCACACAGATTATTCCTTTCCATAAAAAACACTGAGTGGGATACCGAAATACCTGTCAGCTAGAATATCACTCAAAAGTTTAGTGTAACTTATCAGAAATACACTATACTTAATGACTAAAGGAATCACTAATCATATATTACTTATGATTCTTAATGGAATATGTACATAGGTACACAGAAGCCCATTTTCAGTAACCACCACTCTGTTTTTCCAGCAACACATCGCATTACCTAATGCAAATTCCATCCATCTATTTTCTTATCCATGTGTCCAACCCTAATGTAAGCTTGTTATATTAAAATGATTATTGATCTGAATATTTATTGAGCCAAAAACCACTTTACATTTGGCTCGTTGGGGCTCTGTAGCATTAGGCAATGCTGGCTTAATTACAGTCTTAAATTTTCACCTTGAAAAAAACAAAACAATTTCTAGTTTAAAAAAAGATTTAAAAAGAAAGTTTGCAACAGGGCGTACGACTCCTTTGAGAAAAACTGGTGGTGATCTGTGAAGGACGCACTACAGGCTGTCACATGATACCGTTCA